AAAAAAAATAAAAAAATAAAAGAAGTATAATACAAATTGGTATTTGCAAAATAGTCAAGGGAATGTAAAGTAAAGCATAGGGAATATAGTCAATGATATGGTAATAACTATGTATAGTGCCAGGTAGGTACTAGACTAGTCAGGGGGATCACTTCTTAAATTATATAAATGTCTAACTACTATGCTATACACCTGAAATTAATATAAAATAATATTGAATGTCAACTGTAATTGAAAAATTTAAAAAGGGGTGGAGGGTAGTGATGGCGAATAGGAGGTCCAAATTTCCAGGTATAAACAAATAAGTCTTGGGGATGCAATATGCAGCATAGGGAATATAGGCAATAATATTGTGATAGCACATAGTATGTTGTCACATGGTTGCTGGACTTATCATGATGATCACTTCTTTAGGTATATAAATGTTGAATAACTATGGTGTACCCCTGAAACTAATATAATATTGTATGTTAGCTATGTTTTTAATAAAAATCTTTTTAAAAACTTAGAAAACAAACAAAAAGATCCTAGCTCTAAATATAAGAGCTAAAACTGTAAGACTCTTGAGAGGAAGCATGATAGTAAGCCTTTGTGACCAAGGTTGAGGCAAAGCCTTACATACGACATAAAAAACACAATAGACGAAAGAAAAAAAATTGAAACTTGAAACATATCAAAATTAAAAACCTTTAAGCTGCAAACAATACCATCGAGAAAGTGAAAGACAACTCACAGAATGAGAGGAAATATTTGCAAATCATTCATCTGATAAGGAACTTGTGTCTACGAGTATATAGAGAAATTTTAACAACTCAACAATAAAAACAAATGATTGAATTTATAACTGGGTGATTGATCTGACTAGATAGTTCTTCAAAAAAGAATAACAAAACTGGTTAATAAAAACATGAAAAGATGCTCAACATCATTAGCCTTTAGGGAAATGCAAATGAAAAACCACAATGAGATACCACTATACACCCACTAGGATAATTATAATGAAAAAGACAGATAATGACAAATGATATGGAAAAATTGGAACCTTCATACATTATTGGTGATAATTTCAAGTGGTTGAACTACTTTGGAAAACAGTTTTCCAGTTCCTCAAAATGTGAAACATTAAGTTATATGATACAGGAATTCTATTCCTGGGTATATACCCAAGAGAAATGAAAATTTACATTCATGCAAAAACTTGTACATGAATGTTCATAGCAGCATTATTCAAAATAGCCCTAAAGTGGAAACAATCTAAATGCCCACTAACTGATGAATATGTAAAGAAGGTATAATTTATATACCATATTAATAATCAATAAAAGGCAATGAAGTCCTGGTGTATGCCACAATGTGGAGGAACCCTGAAAACATAATGCTAAGTGAAAGCCAGACACAGAGGTCACATAATGTACAATTCTGTTGCCGTGAAATATACTGAACAGGCAAATCCGTGGAGGCAGAAAGTAGATTAGCGGTTGCCTAGGGCCTTGGGCGGGTTCAGGGGAGGGCAGACAAATGATGACGAAAGCATATGGGGCTTCTTTTGGGGTGATAAAAACATAAATTTGATTGTGGTGATCGCACAATTCTGTGAACAAACTAAAAAACGTTGACTTGTACACTCCAAATGTGTGACTTGTTTGACATGTGAATTACATCTCAATAAAGGTGTCAAAAAATATAATCTATATAAATCAGTGATGTAGTATGAGCTTTGATCGCTTTAGAAAAATCATTGACTATAGTAGCATTTGTCAACATAATCACTATTGATATTTTGGGCTAAATCTTACTGGTTGTTGGCGGGGTGGGGTGTGGGGTCCCTCTGTCCTGTGTGTTGTAGGATGTTTAGCTGCATCCTTGGCCTCTACCCACTAGATGCCAATGGCGTCCCTTCTCCCAGTTATGACAACCCAAACTGTCTCTAGACATTGACAAATGTCCCTCGGGGGCAAAGTAGCTCCTGGTGAGAGCCGCCGGATATAGTGTTTAATAGCAGTAATTCAACAAAATACGAAGGCTTCAGCTTTCATTAACGCTTTATATTTTTAGAAGCTTAAACACTTGCCCCTTATTTCTCACAAGGAAACTGAAGAATAGGTTGTTTTTCTTACTTTCAACTCATATCCTGGAGCTCAAGGGGAACCCAGTTAGGAGAGTGATGTAGGACCAGCTGTAACTTTCCATGGATTAGGGTCTGTGTTGAGATCTTTATCTAAGTGCCATGCTTGGGATCCGACTTTACTGAGTGTCCAATAAAGCAGTAAGTTTGCTTGCCACACATTTAGTAGAGAGTCCTCCTAAATAAGAAACTGTTTAAAGATGTAAAAATGCATTAATCTTTTACCAAAGTTGGATTAGCAATAGAATGGATATTATTACTATCTATGCAAAGTAAGGGGGGGGGGAGCAGGATTCCATGGGGATTTAAATGAAAATGTTGCCCTTGAATTTAATTGATTTTGCTAACTTAGCCATTGAACTTATCAATCTGGATTCAAGGAGTTCAACAAAAACTTCCACGATTGGAAAATGCAGAAAGTTGATTTCAAAGTAAAGCAAGAAGGCGTGTAATTTATTCTACAATTCTTTAACACAAAAGCACAAAAGAAACGAATGAGAAAAATTAGCCATGTTGAATCCCCAGGAGAAGCCAGAATCAGAACTGCAAGTCCTGGGGAAAAAAATGAGAAAAATGTGATGGAGAGGGTGTGAATCAGTTACTGATAAAGGGAACACTTAGCTTTCTTTCACAAGGACTTGCAGCTGTGAGAAAATACAAGGGAAGCCACAATCCAGTGTAATGGGAAAGTATCTCAGCTTTACACACACACACACACACACACACACACACACACACACGCGCACACACACACTGCTCATCCCTGAGTCCTAACACTCCTTGTCATGTACTTATTTCATATGACGAAAACTGGATGTTTCATATTCACTCACTTTCCCTCCACAACAAAACACTGAGCTTGCGTGCAAACGAAATATCCCAGCATGCCCCCTTCAGCATCTACAGAGGACAATAGGAGGATGGGGTGGGGGTGGTCTGATTCGCCTTCTGCCTTCCCACATCGCCCCAGGTGGGCTGGACCACAGACAGCATTTCCCAGCTCCTTTGTGTTTCTTGGGGCTTTCTTGCCTCACCCAATGCATATTTCTCCTTTCCAATCTATCCAATTCGAAGAGATAATGCCATCAAAGTCATCTTCCTGTCCCTCCCCCTACACTCACACCCTGATCTGAATATTTTGCCACACTTTTTTTTCATCTTCTTGTGACTAACTTCTACCCTGGAATTTTTCATCTTGAAGTTCTGCCTTCTCTTTCATGCTGAGCCTCCAGTTCCAAAACCCTTGGCCACGTGTGAAGGGAAACAGGAGGTTTCTACCTGCCTAGCTGTTTGTCGGGAGAAACAATTCTGGACCGGTCCTTCTTTGCTTTAGCACTTACCCCTTGGATTGGTCTGTGGTTTGTTTTCTGGAAAATCTCGAACTCCAGTGTTGAGGAAGGAGAGAATAGAAAGTCCTCCATTGGAGTGTGTGTGGGCTCCAGGTGTGCATACCCACTCACCTGTGTGTCTGTGCTGCTACATGTGGAGTGCCAGGTAGAATCAGACCTTCGGTTCATCTGAATTAAGGCACCAGGCCTGTGGCTGTTAAAGACTGCTCTTCTCCGCAGACTTCCGTGTCTCCCAAGGAATTTCTTTCACGTCCTTTGAGTCGACAGGAATTGGACAAACCATTGTCTTAGCACAACCCAGTGCACTGGGCAGCCTAAGGGTGGGACTCTCCCCCTCCACGTTGGAGTTGGCAGTTCAGAGGGGCCTGGAGTTCCCTATCTAAAGAGGAAAGTCCATGCTCTAGCAAAACTGACCATGGTTTATTTTTTAGTTTATTTTGGGGTGGTGCAGGTGGGAGGGCATGTCATTTTTAATCAACCTGGGTGAGCAAAATAAATATTTTGACACCTGCCTTGCCTTTGAGCATGCCATAGGTAGGTCGAGCACACACACTGATTCTTCACACCCCCATCCCTTCGGTTCTACCTGCCCAGCTCAGGTCTCCTCTCCCCCAGCTATGACACAAGATGGCTCAGGGTTTAGTTATTTTCTAATTATCACCAAGGGTTTGATTTCTTCCAGGACTTGGATGGTCTGGAGGAACGAGAGCTAAACCCTGTTCGCAGATAAATTCAGGTTGTACCCAGGACTGCCACCTCTCCCCAACATGGGTGGGTGTGCACATGCGCACGCGCACACACACACACACACACACACACACACACACACACACCCTGGATAAGAAGCCTCACACTCCTTGGCAGGCAGAATAAATGGGCATGACTTCCTGGGAATGAGTCTATCCAGTAAACTTGAGAGTGTTACAACATCACATTTCAAATCGCGCCCTTGTGCACGTATCCAATGGCACTAATTCGGGGTAGTTGTTCCTAGCATTTAGACAACAGTAAGCACGAAGTCGCATATGAGACTCCTAAGCCTAATCTCTGTTGCTTAGTGGTGTTGCCAAATCTGCCCCAGCAATGCCTCAGAGTGCTGAGTACACCCCACTGTCCCCCAGGCTACAGGGGCTGAGCTGTGACCCTGCAGTGCCAGAGGAGATCCATCATGGAGCCGGTATGGACATGAGTTGAAGGAGCCCGTGGCTTCATCCACTGGTCTCGCTGGGAAAGACTTCGAAGAAGATTTTGTTCAGTATTCCTGGACACGAAGAGTGATGACATGACAAGTAGGTCAGTTGCCTTATGATAAGTGGGAAATTTTACCTCCTAGTGAAGGCTAATAATTATATTCCTTTCCATTTCCTCTGAGGTGACAAGTAGATAATTTATTTTTTCATATAAACATTTTTCAAAACTTAAATCATGGCATCCTAAAGAGGCTTGCTGTTGACACTATTATCATCCTCCTATGTGAAGACAGTTCTATAGGAAAAGCAAACACTTCGATCATTCGGTACTTGAATTTTAAACTTTTATTGGGCAAGACTTGGAGGCAAGCTCTAAATAGCCCTCCAGAGATATGAATATAAATTATTTCCAAGTTCAGCTCAGCTACAATAATGTAACTTATTAAGAAGCATTTAATAAAAGTCACACTAAGGAGAAATCTGGTGAAATTTGATTCTGAAAGACCATCTGGGGCTCACCTGTAAATTTCCAGTTTGTTGCAACCATCCGGTTGAACGTTAATTTCTTTGTGCCCTGCTGTGATTAACTGCCATTACTGGATCCCCATCAGTCAGTGAGCAGGTACCTGAACCCCTCCTGGGCCTGTGGGAACTGATGTGAGGTACATGCTCAGATACTCAGAGCAAAGAGAAGAACCAGGTATAGGAGCAGGCCACCACAGAACAGCCTGGCTGTGACAAACCCAGGGGGAAAAGAGGAGGTGACATGAGCTGAACTGTGTCCCCCAAAAGATGGCAAAGTCCTCGGTACCTGTGAACGTGACCTTATATGGACATAGGGTTCTTGCAGATGGTCAAGCTAAGATGAGGTCATTAGGGTGGCACTAAATCCAATATGACTGGTGCCCTTAAAAAGGGAGAAATTTGGACCCAAAAACAGACACACACAGAGGGAAGATGATGTGAAGACCCAGGGAGAAGTTGGCCATCTAGCCAAGGAATGCCTGAGGCTCAGAGAGAAGCCTAAAACAATTTCTCAGAAGGAACCAACCCCACTGACACCTGTGTCTTGGACTTCTAACCTTCAGAACTGTGAAACACTACATTTCTATTGTTTAAGTCACCCAGTTTGTAGCAGCCCCAGGAAATGAATTTTGGAGGCAAGTGTCTTTTACCAGCCTGGGTCCCTGCCCCAGCTGGTGAGCTCAGTGGCAGTGCTCTCGGGTGCTTCTTAAAAACAGCTGGTACCTGGGCCACTCTTCTGGGGCTCAGGCCTGAGCGAAGGGCAGGACTTCAGGGAGGGGCTTTATCTGTGCCACGTAAACCCTGCCCTAGGTGAACAGAATGGGACACAAAGGCCCGTGACATACTTGTCTTTTTTCAGTGTATTTATACACAGTACACAATTATCATACCCTCTCCGAGAAAGCGCTTACTAGATGACTACTCCAGGTAAACAGGACATTTTCAGGGCCCTGTCTAGACTCCCCTTTTTCTCCTTCGTGATGGTTACTGAATTGGTCCCAGAGGTCATTAAGTATGTCCTCTGTGCTCAGGAGAGGGCTCATAAATGCATTCACTTGAGGATATTGATTATTGGTTCTCAAATTCTAATGTTCATAGAAACCTTCTTGGAGGGTTTGCGAAAATTCAGATTCCCAGACCTACAGAATCAGAAGCTCTGGGGGTGGCACTTAGAACTCTCCGATTAATCATCCTCCATTCCCACCCCGCCCCCAGAAGACTGACACAGGCAACTTGATCACCCCTCTTCAAGAAACACTGTTGCAAATGACTGATTCGAGTGAGTGTCTTTCCCTCTGTGATAGCTGCATTTTCAGAACCAATACAATGTCTGTAGATTAAAGCCAAAGGAATGAAGATCTAACTGTGGAAAGTTAGACTTTTGTGAGTTGGGTAGTGGAGACACTTCCTCAGATGGCTTCTCAGCGAGTCTGGGCTCATTCCTCCAGTAAATGGTCCACGTGTCATTTCAGTCCATGTGTCTTTTTGATACCCTCGTGTAGAGGATGGTCTCCTACAAGGGTGGCTGTCAGTCTAAATCAGGATACACAAGGGCAGCCGTGACACTCTGTGAAGGGAGCCATGAAATATTGATATATTTAATTCCATTTGGAAACGCTGTGCCTGCACCAGATACAATGTGACTTTATTATATGCAATACAAAGTAACAACCAGAATACGCTGAAAGCACGTTGCCACCTCAAGCATGAGTGACTATTTCTGAATGAGTCTATGGCTCATCCTTTGCCATTTGGTGATTCATTTTCTCACAAGCCAGCAAGTAGTAACAGATGCCCAAACTGCATGAAATGCAGTGGAGAAAGTTTTAAAGTGCAAAGTTGTGACCCAGTCGTTTTATCTTTTCTGTAAATTGATAAATTTATATCTTGTTGAAGGAGCACCTCAGATCAACTCTAAGGTTGGATTGGAGATTCTTTTTTCTTGAGGAAATCCACTTCCTCCAAGCCTTAAAATTATGTGCAAGGAATCCCTAAATGGATATTAGTTCTTACGTGTGTATGTGGGTTGGGGGGGGGGAAGGGGGGTGTTATATATAAAAAAATTACCACTGAGTTTTTTCCAGTGACATAGAATATTTCAAAGATGTTATCTAGAATTCTTAAGCATGTGGTAAATAGAAGTGTTTAAGTGGCATAAAACTAAAATTTCAAAGAATACAGGGAAATAGCAGCTTTCAATTATGCATAGCTAAGAATATTCTATTCATTTTATTTTTATATTCTTTATATATTTTTATAATCTTGTATTTTACATTTTGTTATGTATATTTCTTTACCTATAATAAAATTTACATTTTATAGTTACATACTCCATATTTTATATTGAAACAAATCTGGATATGTTTTAGAGCACCCTGCAAAATTCAAATACATGTTTTAGGAAAAAACTCTACATTTCAAAGAAATATTACATCTGCATTGGGTATCCTAGGGAACCAGCTACTCAGATACTAAAATACAAAAATATGATTAAATTAAGTGGAAAAGCACAGGACAGATATGAACAGAGTATAAATACAATTTGTAGAAAAGGAAAACAATATTTATGCATCAGAAAACCGTAATCTTTGATGGTAGAATTGGATGATTTTTATTTTCTTCTACATGCCATATTTTTCATATTTTCCACATTTTCCACAACAAACATGTGTATTACTTACATAATCAGAAAAATATATATTTATATATATATACAATTCTCTGCCAAATTTTCCATGCAGTTTCCTATTTACTTAATCACGTTTGTAAATCTGTTTTCTACTTGATGTTATAAGCTCCTGATAAAACTGTAAACAAAGCTTTTCAGGACTCAGCAACCCCGGTTTGCCAAGGGAACACCATTTTCCATCTTCAGATCTGTTATTATAGTTCTGCTTATGGTCTGGGTCTCTAATTCTGTTTGCATTATTCCCTGCAGACACTCCTCCAGCTAAAAGCACATTCATGTATGTGGGGCTCTTTCATCATATAGTGAGTAATTGATGTTAGTTCCAAGGAACTTTTTGAGACAGTCTCGGAAATATTTGCTCTAGTGTTTGGAAATTACAAAGTGTTTGATCCCGTTTAAGCTTTCTACGTTGTGGGACATGACTGCAGAGTTCAAGAGTGTGTCTCTCTTGGCAAGGTAGAAAATGTGAGCTCACCCAGAGAGTAAGGAGGAGTGAGTACATTGGAACCCCCCAAATTCTGGTACCTGTTTATCATGCCAGGCGCCAGGCCCTGATTCTCTCTGCTCCCGGGAGCTTGCTTAGAAGCAGTGGCAGTGGCTGCATTTGGCTGAGGTTTTATAGGTATTTCCTATTTTAGGAAAGATGGTTGAAATCAACTGGAAAAACAAATTCCTTTTACCTCCTCTTGAGACTTTCATTAAGAGTGTTTATTCTTGGAATGACGGGGATTAAGTGAGAAGGTATTTCAGATGCTGGTCAGGGCCAGATGCTGAGATGCTGGCTTTCAGCTCGTGATGAAATTATAAAATGCTCACTTGTGTAAGAGCTGTTTAACCCCTCCTAGTTAGGGTTCTCGCTAACTAAGAGCAGGTTTCCTTAGTGACATTTGTGAATCACGGGTTGGTAGGCTTTTCTCTCGCAAAATTCTTTTAGGACAATTGTTTTCAACAATTCTTACAGTTTTAGATGAGAGAAATGAGGATTTCTTCCCATTTGGAGAGGGTGAATCCAAACCCAAAAGGGGAGGTGAGTTTCCAGGAGGCAAAGCATGGCCGAAGTTGACAACTTAGAGGATGGACCATGTCTTCTCTCTCCAGACACTGGTTGGTGCCACTGCACACTTACCCACACCCAGAGTGCTTGCACGCTGGCCTGAAGTTTCCTGTAATGTCAGCATCACCATTGTCACCTGGGACCAATCCTGTTCCAAAATCAGAGTCCCCCAAGAGGGGAGAGGGTGCCCGCTGCCACTGAATATCTCTTCTGTGAAAAGGCTTCATGCAAGTTCATTTCTTCAACACACTCAACCTGACTTTGAGGCTGACACTGCAGGTGAGTAAACTGAGACTCCGAAGTTAAGGAAAAGTCAGTCATGTTTGTAGATGGCAGAAGTGAAGTTCAACCAAAGGTTGTCCTGAAGCCTGGGGTATTTTCCACGTACCACGCTACCTTCCCCCCATCCCTTGCCTTTTAAATAGAAATAAAGGGAAACTGAGAGAAGGATAAACAGACAAGAGAGGAACTAACTGCCAGACAGTTGGTTGGTTTTGCTTCATCTAAACATAAATCCTGAAGGTTCTTCTTTGCCCGTTCAAAGCTAAGAGCCTTAAACAAGGGTTTGAGTAGATTGGTCGTAGCTGTGCCCGAGTTGTGTACACACAGGACCTGTCCAAGAATCAGAGCAGTAGGATTGTTGGTCTGTACAGAAGGAGGGCCCCATCCATACTTCACATGGCAACGTTCTCCTGAGACCAAACCTGGAACAGAGATTTGTTGATTACCAAGTACCAGAGTTATTATTATCATCACTATTGTTTTTACAAAATCTGGCCTTTGCAGAGGTGCAGTAAGAAAAGCAGCCAGAAATTTCTTCTACGCAACTCGAAAGGGAAGGAAATCATTAATTTGGTTCCTCTAAGCAAGTAGTCCTAATTGATGAAGACTCAAAATATACAGTCTGGATTTTTTCACTTGATCGAATATGCAAGTAATTAACTGTTTCTTTATCTTAGAGCCAAAATAACTAGAATGAAGTCGGACAGAAAAGCTCAGCAGCTCTGAGTTCCTCGACAAGCCACGATTCTCCGTGAGGAACAGAGGACCTGGGCTAGGCACCCCAACTGAATCTTTTATGGCCATACCCAAGCCTGGACACACAGCGACACAAAATCTTTCATTTCCTATGTAGAATTCACATGTGAAACACAAAATATGTTTAATAAGCCTGGGTCCTGGGAGCCAGCATTGGGTACAGGAGGGGCTTCCCTGTGGGCTATGGAACTAAAAAAAAAAGGAAGTTGAAAGAGGGACAAGGGTGGTGGTTGTTTTGAGATGTGGGTGGAGAGAAAGACCCCTGCACAAAGGTAAAATGATTTGTCCAAAAGACAACAGTAAGCCAGGGAATTTCAAATCACCTAGACGCTCCAGGGCAACTGACACAGCAATACCCAGTGCAGGGGGTTAAATAGTGCTCCCCAAAAGTCATGTTCGCCTGGGACCAAAGAAGCATGGAACCGTATTTGAAAACAGGGTCTTTGCATAGGTAGTTTGTTAAGGATCCAGATGAGCTCGTACTGGATTAGCATTGGCTCTCAATCCAGTGACTGGTACCCTTGAAGAAGAGACGACACAGAGAGACACACATAAGAGAAGGTCATATGAAGATGGAGCAGAGCCTGGCACGGTGCAGCTACAAGCCAAGGGACGCCAAGGATGGCTGACAGCAAGCAGAGGCTGGAGGAGGCGAGGAAGCAACTTCCCTGGGGCCTTCAGCGGGAGCGTGGCCCTGCTGACACCGTGATTTTGGACTTCTGGCCTCCTGCAATAAAAGAATACATTCCCATTGTCTTCAGCCACTAGCTTTGTGGGAATTTAGAGAGAGAGCTTTTCTCAGAAGCCTCAAGGAAACCTGAGAGTCAGAAGCTGTTCGAACACTGAGCCAGTTCAGACATTATAATGGTTAGAAAGAAGGCTGAAGGAAGATCAAAACATTTAAATAAAGATGGGCTTGATTGGAGCAGAGTGGCATACCCTCTGACATGTCACTGGAGGAAGCTCTCAGACTCTCATAGGCTCTAAGCAAAGTTAGACCACCAGAGGGTTTCACTGTGACTTAATATGCTATCTTTCTCATTAAGAAAAGAATCCTACCCAGAAAACGAGGAAAGGCCTAACAGGAGTCATAGCTTGACTACAATGGCAGGAAGTGGATATACTTGAGGGATTACTGGTAACTCTTTATTTTGACAAAGTTGAAGCCATAAAGCTCCTTGACCCCCTAAACATTTTAGAATTTCCTGAACATAGCGCAATGGCCAAAACTGGAAAATTTAACATTAATACAATGCTTATCTAACCCATTGTCTATGTTCAAATTTTGTCAGTTTTCCCCATAATATCATCTCTAACTATTTTTTCCCCTCTGGCCAGGACCACGCATTGCATCCAGTTGTCATGTCCCCTGAGACTCCTTTAATCTCAAACAATTCCTCAGCCTCGCTTAGCCTTTCATGACCTTTATAGTTTTGAAGAATAGGGGCCAGTAATTTTGTAGAATGTCCCTCAATTCAGGTTCGTCTAATATTTCTTCGTTATGAAGTTTAAGTTATTCATTTTGGGCAGAAAAACCACAGAAATAACATTCTGTGCTTTTCTGGGTATCATAGCATGAGACACATGATGTCGACCGGCCCCAATATTACTTGTTATACTTCATCGCTTGATTGAGAGGACATGCACTAATGTCCCCTTGTTACGTTACTCTGTTTCTCTGCTTAGACATGGAGAAGAAATTTCTCAACGTGAGTAGAAACATAAACTTCACATAGCAGCTTTGCAGCCTCTACAGGAAGATGGCCGAAGGCATAGGGGAGGAATTGGAGAGAAACGCTTCCTACTACGGAGAGGAGATTGCCTTCTGAGGAGAGCTGTGCAGCAGCTGTGACAACTGGTGTGTTTTCTCATAAGGACGATGCTGTCGGTGAAATGAGACGAACTATATCAAATCCTGGGTACACTGGTGTGCTCACTCAGTGCAGCAGAATCACGGCATGACACCAGGGTTTGACATGTTACCCGTAAGCTGGATGACAGACCTTCATTCACTACTTAAGTTCAGGGACACCCCTCCTTGAAACATGCCCCATTAGCAAGCCTCTACATTCGGCAGGATCCCAGTCTCGGCTATTAGAGCCTGAAGTTTTCTTCGTCAAATTCCTGCCTCCTGGGGATGGAGGCAAATAACCCTGAGACATGCAGTTTCCACCCTTCCGCTGTTCTTTCCCCTGGAAGGGCAGCCCATCAGTCCTGCGGAGTCGCCCTTTTTTTTTTTCTGTGTAAGCTGTCTTCTACTCCTCTACTTAGGACATCATCTACCTCTGCAGTCTGCCACCCTCCTTTGTCCCTTTTCTCCATATCTACTCGCCATAGCTTAGTCCAGGGCCAACTCATCATCCACTCAGATTCTTGCAATACCCTCTGAGCAGGTGGCCACACCCCCAGGTCCACCCACCCCCATTTCTAACCTCTTGTTACACTGCCACCAGGGTAACCTTCCAAAAGCACGTATGCATTATGGCCTTGGGAGCTCTGCTCTCAGAAGACTGCTGTCCGCCTCTGTCGCCAGGGATCATAAATGGAGATTTATCAATATGACAAAGAGAAAATTTGGTAAGTCTGTCAGGGGCTCCCTTTTCTATCAGTCCCAAATCCAATCTTCTTGGGATGCCTTTATGGTCCCAGCTGAGGCTGCAGCCTCAGGTCTTACCACTCCTTGTGGAATTTCATGCTCTTCCCACCTTCATCTGGACGAACCCTCCGAGTTTTCCCGGCTCTGTCCTGTCTCTGAGCCTTCACTCATCATTTTCCCCACACCTAGAAAATCCTTGCTTCTCATCTTCACCCACATAACACTTACACCTCTCACTGTATCAATTCAGGGTCTCTGGCTTTCAGAAGGACTTTCTTGGGGCCTCAGCAGACTTAAGTGTGCCTCTCATGTTCCCCCCTCTCTGTATCCCTCTCCGGTCCCTCTCTGTGACCCTCTAAGTTTCTTACTATACTGCATTTAAGTTGTTCTTGAGTTGTCCAACTCGCTTTTCAGATGAGAAGCCTCTTGTGTTACTATTCACTGTATCCTTCGACTTAGCACATCACTGCTCCCGGGGTGCGACTTTCCTTGGATCTGTGTAAGTATGTGGGGGAGCCCTGGTTTGAGCATTAGCAGGGAAGAGTGAAGACGTGTTCACATACGCCTGATAAAGGGTTGGGTAGTCAAGAAGGCAGCTGACAGGAAAGATCAAAGAGTCTCCTGGGGGGAAATTCAAACTGTAGGAGAGGCTACGAGAGTTTGGTTTTATGCTCTTATTTGTTAAACGGATGGCCTTCTACTTTTCAAAAGACTTAGATAAGAGGCTGGTGGGGATAGGGTGGAGGGCGGACTGCACTGGGAGAAAGCTGGGAGATGGGAAAGCACTTGTGTTGTCTGCAGGGTCTCTGAGGATAAAGGCTTTCCTCCTGGGTTACTCTGTCCTGCCACACAGCCACGCACACCTGCACACACCCTCCCTTCTAGCACACTCCTAGCCGGGTCTCGTATCCTCTCGAAGCCCTGTTTTCTTTGTTTGGAGTGACTAGCAAGGAGCCTGGAACACAGTAAGCGTTCCTTAAAGAGCATCACTATTCTTCTTATCTCACTTCAAGGAATGAGAGGCTGAGATTCATTCCTTAACACATGAGAATCATTATTTACATGCAACAGTGACTGAGGTGGGTTAATGGATGTACACAGACATGACCAACTATTTGATGGAACTGCAGAAAAAGGACCACCAAGGCTACACCACAGAAAGCTCCTCTGCAGGTCCCTGCAGTAGTTAAAGTAGAGTGGATGCCCTGCCTGGGAGGCTGTGGCGGTGATAAAGTGTCCTTTTATCCAGGTCAGGACAAAGTCCAGTCCCCCGCCATCTCTTCATATCAGCCTCTGGGGGTGGCAGTGGCCGCTGCTGCTTCTGCCATCGGAGGATCTGATTCTCCATCTCCGTCGTTAGAAACCACACATGGAGCTATCAACTGAGGGTGAGCACTTGGCACATCTCTCAGCAGGTACACGTTTAGTAAGCTCCAAGAACAAAGAGGAGTAGGTGAAAATGCCAAAAATGGCATTCCATTGCCCCTTCACCACTCCGGTCATTGTATTAGCCAATTAAAAGGCAATCCCTGGCTGAAAGTGTGACTCTTATCATCACTTTTAAAATTTTAATCTATTTCACAGAAAATTTTTCTTAAAGTACCTTGAGGAATTTTATTATAAGAAATTTAAAAAACAAACAAACTATGCTGTAGAGGGAGAAATAACACTATATACCCTTCAGGCAACCAAAAAGAAAATCATTGCCCACGTTTTCATTTTTCAATGGCATTTTGTTTTATTGTTTTATTATTGTTTGGGGTTCAAAAAACTGTCCTTAAAATTTAAGGCAGCTTCTCTCTACTCAGAAGTACAAGAATGAATTCAAAACAATTTTAGTATAGCTTTCTAATGATTTTCTTATGGTTTGGTCCAGCCATCAAACAAAGGACATTATAATTGTTAATAAGGGACCATGCAGTTCTTGTGTTAAAGGTTACCTTTGGTCTTATTAACTTAATACTTAATTAGTATTTTCTGTTTTGTTTATTAATAACATCATAAATGGTAATTTTTATAAAAGAAAACATTATTTGAATGAGTTTCTACTAATAATATATAAGTTCAAATTGAGTGACAACAAAGACGTTTATGCCAGATGATGTCATATGAGGGGAGCACCAAGAATATTAGTGTTTAATACTTAATGAACATGCATCATACCTCTGCATGGTGCTATATGCTCTGCATTTATTTATTTGTTTGTTTGTTTGTCTATTCCTCATAGCAACCCTATCAGATGGGTAGTATGTATAATTGTTAACATTTTATAGATAAGAGAAGTGAGGCTTAAGAAGTTTAAGAAACTTGCCAAATATCACAGGTTAAAAAGAAAAAAAAAGTGTATTGAGTGCCCATGTGACATGCTGGTCATTGTGTTAGACATTTAAACTCCTTCCCGCCTCTCCCCATTTATCCCTTCTTCCTCATTCCTCCTCCCCTTTCTCTCTTGGTTTTTTTTCTTCCATTCCTTCTTTCCTTTCTTGTAACAAATATTTATTGAGTAACTGCAATGTGTCTAGCATGTTTTCAGACACAGGATGCTAGCGTGATTAACAAGACAGAGAAGGATCTTGCTCTCATGGTATTGATTCTCTTACAGAGAGAGTCAGATTATGTGTAATTAAGTGAATAGGAGCAAAGCGGATGGTAGCAAGTGCTATGAATCCAGCCACATAACAGAACCACTGGATGGCTACGTCATACTAATGAGTCAGGGCTAGCCTTTGCAGTGGCACTTGAATGGCAAGAAGAAACCACGGTGGGATGGCCAGAGGGAAAGGAATTTCAGGTGGGGGGAGCCACATTTAATCCTCTCAGGAACCCTGTGAAATAAGAATTATTAATCTCATTAAAAAGAACAGTGGGTGTGCTGAACTATATTAAAATATCCAAAGTCACAATTGTGAAATCAGTATGCTGTAGTGCTGGTGCCAATCACAAGCATGTCTAATTCTGAAGTGTTGTTTTTGCCATCATATAAAACTACTGCCCATTTGATTTGAGGGACACACACACACACACTCTACATGTATAAAGGGTATGTGGAAAGTGGAAAGATGTAGGAATATGGCCGTGTGTACGTGCATGGTGAGTGTGTTTCCTTGTATCTATAATAGTAACTACAGATGCTTGGTCCAATGATATCACTATTTGTAAAACTTGAAAACATTTTTCACCTCACATCTGTCCACATGCTTGACCTGCCTTTAATATCTGCCTCTTAGAGAAAATGTCACACACAGATAAAGCTAAAAAAAAGTCAGCAAGGCTGGAGCTATTAAAAAGAATAGCACTTGTAAAGAAATAGCAAGTTAGCAAGAAAAGAATTTATTTACAAATCTCTACCTCACCTTTCTTCATGCATAATAGCTCTTTTATATTCCAAGTGAAAAATAGTGTAGTGCTGGGTCACTTGCTTAAATATTTGTTTCCTGACAGGAAAATGCCTAAATTATTAATAGACAAAGGAGTTCACTTTTCTTTGAGAAAAACAGGCAAAGAACCTTTATAACCTCCTAAAGCTCAGGAAAGTAGAGAAGGTTCGCCTTGAAGCACGAGGCATAAGACCAAGAGCTCTCTGGATGGCCATTCCAGGATCAAATCGTCTCGAAGGCATCGACAAACATATGAAGCACCACTTATGCTTTTACGTTTGTGAATTTTTCCATTAGAGGATATTGGCAGCTTGTAACAACCAGGCATTTTACGCGGAACACTGCCTATTGTTCTGTTTTGTCTGGTAAAATCTTTTCCATCCTTTTCTCTTTCAGCTTATACTAAAAATCTGTAAGATGGGAGAAAAGCCAAGATGTGCTGCTTTTCCTTTGGGAAGAAGTTTTTACTACTCAGAAAGATTTTCCAAAAAGTTTCTGATGGAATTCAATCAGAGTCAAGATTTATCATCTGCACGTCGCCTTTGCATTCTGAAGTTTGGGGATCGGAGTAGTGCATGTAGAGAAGAACGTATAACCAAAATGACCCTACCAGTTTGCTTGATGATGATGGTGATGATGGCGTCGATTTTATGTTGGAGCAGTTTATGATTTATAGCACCATTGAGGGGAAAGGGTAGAGATTTCCCATACACACCCTGCTCCCACACATGCAAGCCTCCCCTATTATAAACACTCCCCACCACAGTGATACATTTGTAACAATCGCTGTATCATTGACCCGTCATAATCACCCAAAGTCCATAGGTTACCTTACTGTTCAGTCTTGGTATTGTGCCTTCTGTGGGTTTGGACAAATGTGTGATGATATAAATCCATCATTATAGTATCACACAGAATGGTTTCCTGCCCTAAAAATCCTCTGTGTTCCCCCTGTTCATCCCTTCTCCCTCACTCCCCCAACACATGGGAACCATTGATCTTTTCACTGTCTCCATAGTTTTGCTTTTCCCAGAATGTCATAGAGTTGGAGTCATACAGTATGTAGCCTTCTCAGATTGGCTTCTTTCACTTAGTCACATCCTCTATGTCGTTTCATGGCTTGATAGCCCATTTCGTTTTAGCACTCAAAAATATTCCATGGTCTGGATGGACCACAGTTTATGTATCCACTCACCTACTGAAGGACACCTTGGTTACTTCCTAGTTTGGGCAATTATAAATAAAGCTGCTACAAACATCCCACCTGT